AATAAACAAATAAAAGGCACATAAAGTACAATCCCAATCTTAAAAGTTAATTTTAGAGACAGCAAATAAAATTATATTTCAGTAAATATTGTTAGAAGTATAGTATAATACAAAAAGATAAAATTTGTTCATGTTCATTAAAAGCATGCAGTCATAAAATCACTATTGTGCTTGTTAATTTTCCAATTCCCATTATAACTAGACAGAATGTTAGACTGAAAACTGATTACCCCAGTTGAATGCCTCTATGCGTGCTGTGAATACATGCCGTTCTATCGGTGCAGTTGTCCTTGCAGATTGGTTTCCTTCCTGCTCATTTGGCCTGTCTGCCAGCGGCTGGGATGAGCTGGTAGCTCACCTCAGGGCTGAGGATAGCATACACTTAGGCTGTTTGGGATTCTGATTTGGTGACATCCATACCAGAGAACTTCTGAAGGGACGCTGAGGACAATGGAAAGGGTATCTGGTTTTAGTCTGTGTGAAATGGGCATGCTAAGGCAGTTTCAGCTCAGAAAATGCATTTAAATTTTTTTCCAAAATAAAGCCCTAGAAAACAGATTCCAATCCATCTCCAAACCTCCACCAGTTTCAAAGATTATTTTACACAAATATGGGTAAGTTTAGAGGACCTTTCCTCTAAAAAAGGGTTTCCAGTTTTAATATTTTTTATATTACACTTGACAAGCTAATATAAGATTAATCTCTTATAGTTGCGGTTGACAAACTAGCCTTAGATTCTCACCATGCTCAGCTTGGTTTCTTGGAGCATGACTAGGTGATGATTGGCCTGATAGGCACTCACTTGCAAGGCGAGGGTTTGCTGTTCAGGGACCCGAGTGATATTCCTGCCCGATGGCTATGCACACTTTCACAAATATTATTTTTATTTTAATTTTTATTTTATATGTATTGGTATTTTGCCTGCATGTGTATCTGTGTGAGGGTGCTGGATCATCTGGGACTGGAATTATAGAGAGTTTTGAGCTACCATGTGGGTGATGGAAATTGAACCTGCGTCCTCTGGAAGAGCAACCAGTGCTCCTAACCACTGAGTCATCTCTCCAGCCCCTGGCTGTGCACACTTGTGCACCATTTATGCACTGGCTTCATCTGGTAACAGTTCGCAGACTGACTCCTGTCTGTGGCCCACACTTACGATAGCCCTGTGCTCAGTTGGAGTCATCCCCGTTTCTCTCTAGCCAGCAGAGTGTACTGGGTAACCCGGCAGCATGGGTAGACAGAGGTTGGCTCAGAGACCCACTCCTGAGGAAAGCCACTGCCTCCCCAGAAGGTTCAGATCTTTCATGAGATTCTCTGACTTAACAAAGATTAGAGCCAGAGCACTCGCCCTTCCTGATTTTGCAACTTACCACAAAACTACAGCAATGGAGATGGTGTGGTTGAGACATAAGGACCAAGATTTTGATCAATGGAACAGAATTAAGAGTCTAGAACCCCTTACACTTACAGCACATTTCCCCTCTCTATATAGCACATATATTTTAAACAAGTATGAAGCCAAGCCAGGGGTGTGGGGAAGGAGGAGAATCCCTTGAGCAAATGTTGCTAGAACATTTGGGTATTCATAAGCAAAAGAAAAATAACTCAATGGAGAATCCATACACACACTTTTACTAGTCATCAGGAAAGCTGAAATAAATTTACAGACTGAACCAGATTTGTTCTTTCCAGATGGAACTTTCTTACCTTTCTACCTCAGTGTAAGTTTCTCCCATTTACAGGTTCCTACGATAATTCTAAGACAATGAAAGGGGCAAGTCTTCATAGAACAAGAAAGACCAAAGGGAAATCCGAGGACTCGCATTGGTCTTTTCTGGGGAGCGTGGGACTCCCTTCAAAGTCTTGCACATTTTTTCCTCAACTCTCCTTTTGGGGGGGCTCTCTCCTACTCTGACCCTAACTTACTTCCACTCTGAAGCTCTTAGGTTAAAAGGTGGGTCCCAGGAGAAGTCTTCCCTGCCCCTGAAATCCACTTTTAGGGTTTTCTGGTATCATCTCGCAAAGCACCCTGGGCTTTTCCTTCCAGCCACTCAACACGGTTTGTGATTTAAGTGTTTCACATAACCATACCTTTGCCATCTAACTTTCATGAGAATGTATATCCCTTTCATCCACCACAAGATTCTAATTTTCTAGTTCTGGTCTCAATAACCATGAGCCAGTTTTAATCAACCATTCAATCCATTCACTAATCAATAAGCCAAACGGCAATAAACATGTTATTCTGTTATTCTCAACATTTTATTCTGAATTATGATTTGGAAGGAAAAATGAGCTTTTTGTTTGGATTTCATTTTTTAAGCTTTGCCTTGTTTAATATCCAAGCAGTAATGTGTATACTTTTCATAAAGACTTCGCATTTGATGTTTTGTTTTTATTGTTAGAATAGAAGCGAGTTAGATTTTTCTGGTATTTTGACCAGCTCTTTTTCTGTACGGTTTAGGTCTAGTTCTGTAAATCAGGAAATAAACAGCTCTTAAAGCTAATATTAATTGCTTTTTAAATCCTACATACAAAGAGTCGTAGAGGCCCCACTTGCAACTAGCCCCCAACTGAAAATAATGTACTGTCTTTTTCTGAGTTAACATATGCACAATGATATTTCTAAACAGGGGCATATGTAAACCAACAGGAAGATTTGTGATGGAAAGCAGGAAAGGATCAACCAATATGGCCACACTGGAAAGACAGGAGACCAGACATCCTAGACCTCTTCATGTACTGACATGAACTTAAGGTTTACACAGGGCAAGAATTGGGACAAAGGGTAAGAGCTGTGCCTAAGACCCAGCTTGGGTGAACAGAGGTGGTGGCTCAGCAGATGTCACTTCTGCCGTCACTGGAGGAGGCAGCTCTGCCCCCATGAAGTAATCATTCCTGTGTGGAGAGACAGTGCCAGTTACTATCATGTGGTTGTTGCCCCACTGAGAGGGGGGGCAGTCTTACCATGTGCTGGTCGGTCTGAGCTCACTGTTCCTGGAATACATGATGACCTGGGGTTTTGGGCAATGCCTTCTTTCCAGGGATCATGGCACAGGATGTTGTAAAAGAGAGCAATGAAACACTTTAGTCACGCTTTTTTGATGTCTTCCGTCTCGAGGTGAGTTGAGAAAGGCTACGTCAGTTTGGAGAAAAGCCAATCTTTTATCACTCGTGTTGAGACAGACAGCCTCAAATGATTAACACACCAACACGCAGGGTCAAGAAGGAATCTAATCCAAGGTTCTAGGACAGTGGAGACAGATGCAAAATGAGGGCAGAGATTCCAAGATTTATCCTGCTTGTTATTACCCATGAGGCCCAAGTGGAGAATCCAAGTCCTTCCCACAAGATCACCCTTGACTCCTAATAATCACTTAATAAAAACGTCTGCCGTGCAGAGAACTACACTGAGTGACTGCGTTATTTCTAAGCACCACAATTGGCCTACCAGAAAGAGAGAGCGCGCAGACAGAATGAATCAACTACCTTCTCATAAGTATGGAAACTAATTTGAAAAGGTTTTATGACCTTTATAGACAAATGAACCTTTGATGTTAATTCAGGGAATTAACTTTGGAACCTCAGAATTGACACGCCATCTTCAATTCTCAGCTACTTCATAACCAGGCCAGTGACAAGTTCCTTAACCCTTGTGACCATACTAGAGTTTGAGGGAGCATTAAACACTATGTAAGAAATTTCTAACTAGCCAGGCGGTGGTGGCACAAGCCTTTAATCCCAGCACTCGGGAGGCAGAGGCAGGCGGATCTCTGTGAGTTCGAGGCCAGCCTGGTCTACAAGAGCTAGTGCCAGGACAGGATCCAAAACCACAGAGAAACCCTGTCTTGAAAAAAAAAAAAGAAAGAAATTTCTAACTAATGTAGGGGAGAACAAAACTATACATCCTTCGTAGGGTCCCATCTTGGGCTGAGAATGAGCCTGGTGTGAACACCATTGGTGGGAGGAAAGTGACAGTGTTTATTTGATGCATGTCTTGGGTGGTACAGGGCATCATAAAGAAATGACCTGAAGAGGCCGTCAGCCTCAGTAGCTTACAGGTTAAGCTAGGCAAAGAATAGCAGCTACGAAATGATAAAGGGCTTGCAGTAGGTAGGTAGTTTGGAATCGAACAGTGACTCAGAAGATAAAAGAAGATTAAGATAACAAAGTTTACACAGAGGGAAACATTTTCCACCTGGGAATATACCTGCTTTCAAAAACCAAAATAAAGCCAGGTGGTGGTGGCGCACGCCTTTAATCCCAGCACTTGGGAGGCAGAGACAGGTGGATCTCTGTGAGTTCTGGTCTACAAGAGCTAGTTCCAGGACAGACTTCAAAGCACAGAGAAACCCAGTCTCGAAACCCCCCCCCATAAAAAGAACTGAAATGAAGGACTAACCTGTACCCATGATTTCTCTGAATGTCTCTAATTAAAAATAGTCTATATGCCAGTGCAGCATATTTTCAAATAGCATATCTTTAACTCCTTCACACCTACAAAAGGATGCTGTGCTTGGTTAGATACGAGAGAAGGATAAAGAAGCTGACACATTCTGGTGGCTGCAAGCCAATACTGGTGTTGCTGATTTGACTTACTGTTTTATTTGTTTGGCTGATTTTTGGTTTAGACTCATTTCTAATCTGAGACTAAGTCACCTCCAGCCATTTCAGGGAAACAGAGTAGCTTGTCTGAGTCCCTTTGGAAATAGCTTAGCCTGGCTCTTTCCACTTCCACCCAGCTATGAAAAAGGACAGTAGCAATTGCTGCTGTATCTCCTGGAGGATTCCAGGAGGTTCCAGATAGCTAATGCATTGTTTTCTGTCAAATCCATAAAGTGTGGCTCAAGGCCACCCTCTGTGAGCCACACTTTATTACCATCAGTGGGACGAAGACTCTTAAAGGAGAGGCCAGCAGCGACCCACCAAGAGTGGAGACGCAGGGGGAGGCAGAAGACGACCATTATGAAGGGGGATTTTCAGGCTTGGGCTTGAAGAAGCATGAAGAGGCAGACCTAATATGTTGGCATCAGAGGAAGGAAGAAGACTGAGGGGTGGCTGGAGTAGAGGGTGGGGTGGATGAGCAACTGAGCCAGCAAATAAGGATTTTGAAAAGTAATATTTGAAATTTCACACTTAAAAAATGGGCGAAGTCGCTATTATTTAAACAAAGAACAACACAGAACTAGCTCAATCTCATGGCTCTTTCTCAGTTTGTGCTGTTGTTTGGGATCATTTCCTGAAACATGGTGGAACTTTTCGTGATCTGAGACTTCCTTGGTTTGCTTTGGCTCATCTTTGAGCTCATCCTACCGCCTTAAGAAAGAAAGAAAGAAAGAAAGAAAGAAAGAAAGAAAGAAAGAAAGAAAGAAAGGAAGGAAGGAAGGAAGGAAGGAAGGAAGGAAGGAAGGAAGGAAAAAGAAAAGAAAAGAAAAGAAAAGAAAAGAAAAGAAAAGAAAAGAAAAGAAAAGAAAGAGGGCAGGGTCAGGAAGGAGGGTGGTGCACATCCTCGGCCCTCACCTGCCTCACTAACTCACCTTTGAGCCCTTATTCCACAGTCTAGAGACCAGACTGGTTGGTACTGAAGCCATCTTCATACCAGAGTTCACAGGATGAACCATCATGGCTACCTCATGGGGCAGGAAGGGCCTGGACAGGGTCACACTGTTTGGAAGCCATCCTTCGTGAGATGGGGGAATCCCCACTTTCCCCACTGGTCCCTAGTGTGCTGAATTCCATTCTGTTCTGAAGTGTTTCTTGGACACTCTGTCAACCGGTCCTGTGATGTTCGAGGGCCTGGGGGCCTGTGACTGCAACATTAGACATTAATCACTGACATCTTATCTGAACATTGGAGAAAGCAGAGGGGGTGCTATAGGAAAGCCATGTTGGGCTCAACTGGGTCACCAGACCCCAACAATTCAGACTGAGGCAGAGAGAACTGGAGCCTGAAGCCAGAAGCAGCAAAGGTCTTAGGAAGAGGGGACAAGTGACCCACATTGTGGCCGTGTAATAAAACATGTTCCTTCGGAAGTTCAAACCTGAACACTGGTCTCTGTCTTCTGTGTATTTGCTTCTTTGGGTTCCTGTCTTCTCCACAGTTCTCAGCTTCACCCTCTCTGTGTGCTTTTCAAAGTGTCTTTCGAATGTTGTACCTTCGCTGAAACCCCACCACCCACCCCACTCACCTCAGCTTCCCAGGGTCCTTCATTCCACTTTTGCTCGGTCCTGCTCTAGCGTCTCCAGAGCTGTGCCCATACAGGTACAGTTCCCACCCTCACAGGACTTCCCTCTTCCTGGGAAGTGGGGGGTCAGTTCTCAAGTGTGCAGATGATCAAGATGATCACAGATGGTGGCTGGGACCTCAAAGAACCTGAACCAGCCAGGAAAGGACAGAGAGTAAAAATGTCACAGTGTTCCCTGAAGCCTGAAAAGCGAAGGAAGTCTGGCCAAAAATGAAGCCAAGGAAAGAAAGCACCCCAGGCAGAGAATCCAAGAAAGGTCATGTGGCTGAGATGATCTCGGGGTGCTCCTCACATGACCAGCAGGCCAATGAAGCTGGGAAGTTGGAGCGTTGTTAGTCAAGGGTTGTTGGCCAACTGGAGTGGGCCTGACAAGCACTCAGAAAGATCATTGTTTCAGAATGGAGAACAAATTCAAGAGGAGTAAGAACAAAGTAGGAGATTCGGCAGGAGACCATGACAGTCGTCTAAGTGAAGGACAGACTGGAGTAAGATGATGATGTAAAAACCAAGAGGAAACAACGGACTACAGAGACATTCTTCAGTCTTTTTTTGTTTGTTTGTTTGTTTTCTTTCTTTTTTTTTTTCTTTCTGAGACAGGGTTTCTCTGTATAGCCCTGGCTGTCCTAGAACTCACTCCATAGACCAGGCTTGGCCTCTAACTCAGAGATCCTCCTGCCTCTGCCTCCCAAATGTCGAAATTAAAGGCATGTGCCACCACTGCCCAGCTCAAATACATTCTTTACAAAGGACCAACTGATTGGTGGATTCAGGGGTGCCAGGGAATGGAGGGTGTTGCTTACTTGACATTTGTCTCTGGTTGCCCGATATGACATCTTGTAAATCGCAACCCCAGATGAAGTTAAACCAGGCACAGGGCTGTGCAGGGTTCCTCTGTGCCGCCCGGCCCTCAAGGGATAAGGATGTTCTGTAGCAGGGCCCTCTTCCCCTCAATCCTGCCTGGCTGCCAAGGGGAAAGAACAGATCATAAAATTCAGCCTCTAACCCCTTGGGCGAGGCTTTTCCTCTGTGCCCTTTAGAAAATGATAGCTGTGTCTTTGTGACCGATCAGTTTGTTTCTTCTTAGTTGGAAGGGCACTGGTGCCAACGGGTCAGAGAAGACTAATATCAGAACAGGGACAGGCTGGGTGAAGCAGGGTTTCTGCTCTGTTCCTCTTTAGACTTCCAGGGGTCCAGATCCAAGAAGTATGTTGCAAACTTTGGTGTAACAGAACAGAAAAGACTGGTAACAATGATTTTGATATTTTTAAAATTTTGCATTTAATTATCACTTTGCAATAAACTATTGCTTATCTTGATTACCAAGTGGACTTAGTTTTGTTTTGTGTTTTGGTGTCCAACACTACAGACTCGCACCACACCCTGGTTCTGACCCGCCCAGAATGAGGACTTAATAAATGTCAACAAACATTCAAACGCCACCCCTTCAAGAACAAGATATGATATCAGTACAATGACAGGCTTTAAAGAGAAGCAAATTTGACCTTTCTTGTGGTCTCAGGGGTTGATAAGGGGACAACAGGACCTGGGGACAGCAGGGAGTCCTGGGTACTTTCCAGGGGTGTGAACACCTGTCAGGCGAGGACAAAGTGACAGGCAGGGCAGCTTCTTTTTATCTTGGATAAAGACAGCATGGAAAAGAGAGGAACTGGAACCAGGGGGAGGAGGGAAGATGGAAAGAGAGGAGGACACCGGGTTGGGTGTGTTTGGGTCCTGGCGATCAGGATACAGTCCTCTCAAAGAGTCCCAACCCAGGCGGTAAATTTCCCTGAGCGGGGACCAGGTAAGAGTCCAGGAGTGGGAAATGGGAAATCCTTGAGTTTTAATTTCACACCCCATAAAGCACCCTCAAAATGCACTGAGAGAAAACCAGTTTACGGGTTCATACTCTGAGAATGACAGGGGTGGCGGGGAGGCGGGAGCTCAGGACAAGCGGTCCGTGAAACTCTGAGCTCAGCTCTGTTTGAGTATTTGTAGGTCGACCGGACACAGTTGCTGCCACCAATCCTTCACTGCCAGAGGCAATGCGGCTCTCCCCTCATGACAGTCTGAAAAACTGCCCCCAAAGCATCCCTACCATCCAACTCGGGAAGTGGGTCCACACCACAGCAAAGAAGTAGGCATCGTGACCGGCTGGAGGGCTTTGGGGAATAACCACTGCATGGAATGTTTTCCTCAGGGAAGGGAACCTCATCTCTTCATGGAAAAGTGGGTGCAGGAAGACACAAACATGTGCCCACCACTTCACAAAACAGCTCTTAAAGAATTGTGATCATGTTAAGCGTTGATTGCCTCCTAAACATGAAATTCTTCCCAAAGAAATGGACGCTTACACAGACACACACACACAGGTTGGTGGGCACAAAGGCCACCCTGTCCCTCTTCCCTCCTCCCCTGGTTCCAGCCCCCCTCTTTTCCATGCATCATTCCTTTCCAGCTCCACCTGAACTAGAAGAACTTTGCTAACATGTGTGTTGTCCCCCTGCAGCCAGTGCTGGCTTCATTGAAAGTGGGACATTACTTCCTGAATGAGAAACTATGATTTTCACCAACCTACAGATAAGACAAATCCATCTTCCATGACCACGAAAGATGGTGATCAATTCGCCGTGGCTGCAGAATACATTGCCCTGCAATCTGGTGGCTTAGCAGGCGATGATCATTTCTTCTCTTCACAGTTCTGTGGATTAGGTGGCTCGTCCTCCTTGCCAGCCAGGGTCAGCTCAGTAGAGTGGCTCAGAGTCTGCTTGCATTCGTTTGTTGTTTGTTGTTTGTTTGGTTTTTGTTTTTTTTGAGACAGGGTTTCTTTTTGTAGTCCTGGCTGTCCTGGAATTCACTCTGTAGACCAGGCTGGTCTCAAACTCAGAGATCCACCTGTCTCTGCCTCTTGAGTGCTGGGATCAAAGGTGAGCACCGCCGCACTCAGCTTGGATTTGTTTTGCTTCTCTCTAAGGAAAACCTGAGCCCAGACATACAGATAGCAAGAGAGACAAGAAGATGTCTTGGTTAGCCCCATGACTCGCCTTATTGACTAAGCTTTCCTTAGGCAATAGTCAGGTCACTTAAGATCACAGCCAAGGAAGAAGCGGTACCTGATGACTTCCAATCACTAGGGTTTGTGAGAAGGACAGATGGGAAGTGGTTTGGGCCCAAGGATTCTCCTCACCAACCACCCTGTCTTTATAGGTCCTGGCTGGGTCTATTCCCATATCTACAGGACCCAGAGCAAGAATCCAAAAAGAGGCTCCCCGGTTAAATAAAGCTAATGCACAATTTAAAAGCAAAAACGCTTGTTTAATATTGCAAGTACTGCATGTCCATTGCTGATTCTGAGTTTCACTGCATAGACTGGAACAGGGAGAGAAGATAATGAGCAGAGAGCACCCCGAGGGGACAGGTCCCCAGCATGCCAGGATAGATTGTGTACACCTTTCGGAAGGAGAGACTGTGGCGGCTTCCTTGACGGTCTTCCCACAGCAGGTTTTCAGCTTCTCCCTACAGTCCAACGTGTAGCGGGATGTTGCCACCACTCGAAACCCTCCCAGCATGCATCAGGCATTTCCACTGATGGTCTTGGTGCAAGCATTTCTGTATTCATCCCAGGAGTGGATAAGTGGATGCTGAGTCATGCTGTGACAGACCTGAGTGCTGGGTCCTTTGTTATACAAGAGCAGGAGTAAGCCATGAGGAGTCCTCCCCCCAAAGCTCATATGATGAAAGCTTGGTCTACATCAAGTCGTGCTATTATTGGATCGTGCCGGGCGGTGGTGGCGCATGCCTTTAATCCCAGCACTCGGGAGGCAGAGGCAGGTGGATCTCTGTGAGTTCGAGGCCAGCCTGGGCTACAAGAGCTAGTTCCAGGACAGGAACCAAAAACTACGGAGAAACCCTGTCTCGAAAATTAAAAAAAAAAAAAAACAAAAAACTATTGGATCGTGAGGGCATTAACTTCCTCAGTCATTAAAGAATTCATAGATTAATGGGTGATTAAGAGGTGGCGCTTCACTGGAGGAAACCACTAGGGTGTCTTTGAAGAGTACAGTTTGTCCTCAGACCGTTCCTCAGAACCTCTCCACCTCCCACCCTCCACGAGGGGAACAGCCTCCTCCGGACACGATTCAGCAGCCATGATGACCTGGCTCACCAAAGGCTCACAGTCACGGAGCCAGCAGACCATGGGCTGAAGCCTATGAGACTGTGAGCCCAGGAACCTTCCCTCCTTTAAGTTGCTTTTCTCAGATACTTTGTTATACTATCTAGCAGTGTGTTTGGATAGGATGAGTTCCCTAAGGCATGGGGCCCAGGACAGGCCTGGAACTGCAGTCTCAGGGTGTCTACCTAATGCAGAATTTATAGCCATTGGGACTATCAAAAAACAAACAAACAAAAAAAAACATTGCTCATGCAGGCACTGGACAGAACAGCCCTTCACTCACAGGAAGAGGAATAGGAGGGTCGACTTCAGTAGTGAGCTTTGATGCCCCATGGCTAATGAACACATCTAAAAAAAATAAAAATATTCTTCCTCATCAGTAATAGGCACGGTCGTGGGGTTGGCCAGGTGCCAAATGACGCAGGAATTTAGAAGGAGCAGAGGACTAATCCTTCCATCTGTGAGGGTTCCTCACCTATTGGCAAGGAAGGGTTTAGAACCAAGACC